AAGAGGATTTTGAAACATGCATGTATAAGATCATGATGTAGGGAGATTATTAAATTGGCCAAAAAGATTTGATTTTGTTCAAGATATTGTCATCATAATGTGCAGACATGAAGGGCCGAGCGCATGTTTGGTGTCTTAAGGTTACTCACTTTTGGAACATCAGTGGGAGTTGAAATCTCAACTAACATGTAATTTTATTACATCTAGAAACAAACTCCACAAAGAAGGAACACATATTATAATAGCTATGAACAAAAACTTCAACAAATATCCATAATACAAGATTAGTTCGTGAGTAATCATGTGTATGCGTTAACTGCAAGAACATAAATACCAAAACAGAACAACAAAAAAAGAAAGAAAGAATAGACGCTTAAGCATAAATATCGACAGGCACACACTTTTTGCATGAATCATCATCCATAATCTTCAGCATTAATTAATTAATCTTCGTAAAAAGCTCGGTGAAGGTGAAAACTAATCATCTAGCTAGCTTCATAAGTAAAACCTTCTTCTTAGGGCAAAAAAAATTAGTCCTCAATTATTCTCATGATCATTTCCTAACTTACATGTGGAAGAGTATTGTCACCACATCTCAATGTGACTATACCTTATACAAAATTGTGTGTGTGTATGTTTCATCATATGTAGGGTTTATAGTGTCTGTCCCATTCTACTGCTCATCATGTCCATCCCATGATTTCTATTCCCTTTTTCCCCTTACCATTTTCTAATTTTCTTTTTTTCTCTATAAATTCATCACACCTAAAAAGATCACATTCCAAATTTCATGTGACATGCACCACTACAGAAGTTTCCATTAGTTCATTCTTCTTTTTACTACTTTTTTTTTTCTTTTTCCCACATATCACCAAATTAATGGAATTGGACCACTCATCATCATGTGATCAAGATTACAACTCAACTTCATCCTCACCACCACCTGTGGTTAAGCTCTTCGGTTTTCCGGTCACAAACGACGGCCAAAAAAACCCGACTCTTCGAAAAATCCAACACGACCACATTAACCACGCGGAAAGCAAAAGGTTCGAGTGCCAGCATTGCCACCGGAAATTCGCCAACTCGCAGGCATTGGGAGGCCACCAAAACGCGCACAAGAAGGAGCGCCAGCGCGCTAAGCGGGCCCATTTCGTAAGCCCGCATGGGGTCAAGCCCGGCCCAGTAGGGCCCAACAACGGTAGTGCATACAGAGCGCGGTTCTTCGTGTCGGCGGAAAATTCTGTGCCTCAGGTTTTGTCGGGAGTGCCTCTGGGGTACACCGGCCGGTTCCATGTGGCGGCCTTGGGGCCACGGCACGGTGGCTGGGGTGAGGTGGGGCCGTCGAGGGCGGCCGGGAGGACAGATGGCAGCGAGGGATTGGACGTTGATCTCCATCTGTGAATCTCTTGCAGTGCATATAGTTTATTCGTAATTATTTCCATTGATGAGTTATTAAGGGCATGATTGTATATAATTTTAACAGTAAATATCTCACTCAAAATTCAAATTTAACTCAATCTTAACTCAACTCTACTATCTGCAATATTATCAATATAATTAAATAATATCAACCAATCATTATTATACATCACATCAACTTTAATTCACTATTCATTCATTCACATAATTTTAAATAACTATAACTTCCAATCATTTTCTCCTACTTTTACATCAAATCAACTTTAATTATTTTAATTTAAATATTATTTTAATATATCCACTAACAACTAACCATATTACTTTTTTAAAACTTAACTATAGTTAAAAAAAACTAGTTTTTTACTAGTTGAATTTATATCCAATCACCCCCTAATTAAACCAGTTTTTTTCTTTTTCTTGTACTTTTTTTTTGGGGGGGCTATAGGAATGAGCAAGTTGAATTTGATGTGACTAAAATATCGGTCCACCGAGATAATTGATTGAACCGCCTTATTTCAATGGCCTCGTACTACAGATAGGATCAACCAGCAAAGCGCCTTTAAATATCTTTTAGGACTATTTTTAAATTTTTATAGGTATTTAACCAACACCAAATATCTTTAAATTGCATAAATCGGGTTTAAATATCTCATTTCAAGCTCGTTTTTTTTTTTTCGCTTTGCCTTTAATGGATTTTGTCTCTTTTCCTTGTAAAATGATTTGTTTGATAAAAAAAGAATCAGATTAATTTAATAAATATTGTGATCTGCAAAATTTTTTTGGTTTCTGATAAGTTCAGTTTGTAATATCTGTTTCCTTTAATGGTTCAACATATCTATATATATATAATTGCTAGCTAATAGCATTTAATAAAACATTTAATAAAAATATTTTCACTTTCCCTCCAAAAGGAGTTACACTATTTTAATTAATTACATATTAATCTCACATTTAAGAAGGTTTCTTACAGTTAAATTTAGTTAATGACTAGATTAAAAAGATTTATTTTAATTAATTCCACATTTATGTTAAGTACAGTATTATCGTAATATCTTATCAGTTTTGTAAAAAAAAATAGTAACTTTTTTCAATAAATTTTATAAAAATTAGTTAAATGTGCTTATATTCATATAAATCAGGAAAAAAAAAAATCTTAGATATATAAAAAGAACATCGTTGAAATAACTTGAATCCACGAAAAAAAAAATTAAACATACGTAAAAAAAATTCTGACTGTGATTAAATATAACAAAAGGGCCTTAATCGGCCTCTTAAAATCATGATGCGGGCGGTTCCAGTTTATTGGAAGCTAACCCTAATGGAAAGCTCATGATACGAGTTTTTTTTTAAAAAAAAAAAAAACTCAAAAAAATACATATATTTACAAATCTATTACAGATCTTTAAATTTTTTGTTTATATAAAAAATTAATATTATATTTACTCATTTATATTTAGATGGTATTTTTTTATTAAGAAGCTAGGACAATCTCTATCAATCAATAAAAGTCAAGGACAAACAATATAAAGAAGTGTTTCCTATGCTATGACATGATCAGTAAGAGTCAAAGATAGTCTCTGTCGCACGTCGGCTTACTACTGAAGAGCTCAGCATTTAGTCATGAGCAATTATACGTGACGCTTTTTAGAGTTACGAGTAAGTGGGATTTGAAGATTTTGATTTGAGTTGTGAGAGATTTTGACGATAGAAAAACCACGACGTTGTTTTATAAAGAAGTGTTTAAGAATATTTATATTTTTTTCTTAATTTTTTTCAATGATTTTGTTATGATTTTTTACTATTGTTTATAATTTTTATTATTTTTTCATGTATTATATAATTTTCCGTGCAAATGCACGGGACAAAAACTAGTTAAATTTTTCATTGCACAAGTGGTAACGACTTTTTATTTTCTGGACAAATGGAAAAAATAAATATGTGATCTTATTTGACAATAATATGGTATTTAGTTGATTAAAATGAAGATAAACTAACCCCAAGTTATATAATTAAAGTTATTAAATAAGACAAGTCAATGCTAAGTTTGACTCGATTCAACTCGTTTGATAAATAAGTCTAGTTCAATCCCTTTTGAAGTTTATTTTTAGTTAATGAGAGAGCTAAGCTATCATTCTGGCCCAAAAATATAATACTTTTATTAACTTAATTTTTATAATCCGATTTATTAATATAGATAAATGAATTAAACTCAAGGACTCGATCCCAAATTTTAGGAGCTCAAATTCGATTATGCTAGTTTACACATGTAGTACCTATTAATCGATATATTAAGTTGTTTAACTTATCAATTAATGATAAAGTCAAACTGGTAAACTCTTAACAAATGATTCACACCCTTTTGAAGGCATTCTCTCTAATATCCTTGCATCTTGGATTAATTAGACTGTAAACTCTGTTAACATACCAAACTACCTCATAATGTTATTGCTAAGTGGACGGTGGGATCATAAGTCACGATAATGTTTCGGATTGTATTCCAATATTTTTTTCTCCTCTATTTAGTAATAAGAACTTGATGGTCTAATTGGACTATATGCTTTTT